AGTCTTTTAATTTTCTGAAAAGATTCTGTCCTATTTTTCCTAATTTTTCAGCAAATTATTATTCACTGACAATGGTTCTTTGTATCCCACAAAACACATCTTGTTTCCTCAATCTTCCTTTGGTGCTATTTATGAAATTAGTCCCATGTGGCCCTTTTATACTATTTGTGATGCGTGTGGGAGTCATGCTATGTAAATGATTTCAAGATCAGTTCTAAAAGAAGTAGCTGTGCCAACCAAAATTTCTATACCACTTGGTTTATTACAACACATTGCAATTCTGTCTTTATTTAGAATGACCTTGCTATCTTACAGTGTTTTTGCTCGCCTTGGATTTTTAACTCTCATCATGCTTTCCAAACCCTTTTTATAAAATAAATAGAAAATAACCTTTATGAACCACATTATATATATGCATTATGAGCACAATCTACTCAAGAATATTAAAAGTCACATATTTATCTACCATTTAGACATTTTTTAAAAAGTGAAAAGCTGCACAAAACTGTGTAATTGTCAGTGTTACAACCAATCCTAGTTTCAAATGCTGTGATCTTGGAAATCTCTGTATGTCCAAGAGTATACCAAAACAAGAGAGTAGTACTTTAGCACTATAATGGTTCATCCAAGACTATCTCAAAATGTACATCATTTGTTTGCTTTTAAGAAAAGGTCTTTCCCAAGGACAGAGTGGAAGTTGTAGCTAGCTACAATAATAAAGCACTTCAACTCTCATGTAAGGATTCCTAAGATGCATTCATCTGAATGTACAGCAATACCAATGTGGCAGTTTCAGAGCCACTTGAGTTATGACTCCAGGCCAGATAACCTAGAGTTGGGTGCATGATGTACATATTAATCTATAAAGAAGCGTAAAATGTCCATAAGAATGGACTAGGCTGCTTTCAGACAGATGGCTTCAATGGTGTACTGGAGCTAGGGCTCACAGGGTTAAAGTCTGGGGGCTCTCTGAGTAGCAAGAAATACAACATTTTCCACCACCACCCTGGACTTGCCTGATTCCCTCTGAGCTTACATGCAGTCCTCATAAGATCTGGGAGAGAAGTGGATCTTCCTAGAATGTTGTTGCAATCTTTCCATACTGTAATGCAAGTATCTGAGGGTGGTTTTTCTCTTGAATGGGTAATAAAGAGCTATTAACTTTATAAAACACCTGTTCTTATTTTATTAATCTTTAATTAATCTTAAATTAAACTTTATAAAACACCTGTTCCTCTTTTATTAATTCAAATCAGCTGCTTGAATTTTTATGTCCTCCTCATTGGGAGGATGTATAGGGAAACAATCACAATGATTGACTGCACTTCCAGATTTACCACATTACCAGGCAGCTCCAAGAACTACAAATCAAAGGTCTCACAAGTGATGTAAGCTAGCATATAGAAAGACATTAATTTGCCCATGTTTTCTGAGAAAAGATTGATATGTGGTCTGAATGTCTATACTTATATCTTCATGGTTATATCTTCAACCATAATGTTTTGTTTTCAAAACTTGAAGTTCTCTTTTATCTCTTTGAGGAGTAGACATGCACACACATGCACACACACTTTAAACTACTTCGAGATCCTTAATCATGGACCCTTTGTAACATCTCATGAAAGAGTACTACAACAGCCATGTCTGTAGGCACACCAAGAAGGATTTGAACACCTGACAGACAAGACAGAGGAAGCCATTAGAGATAACATATCCACTATAACAGGGATTCAGCCTGATTCTACCCAATGACTTATAACTTAGAAATTTTGAATGTGATCCCTTCTGACATGGTTTGGCAAACCATGTCCATCACCATAGGGCCCTACATTGCACAAGCCATGGTGCAGAAAATAGTGAATTTACTGCAAGTACCCTTGGCCAGAGACAGAAGGATGGCTGGAGCAATAGGAAGCACATCCACATTCATATCATGATGCTGTGGAGAATGAGCAAGAGATAAGAGGGTCCAGTTGGGCATTATATTCATTCATTCATTCATTCATTCATTCATTCATTCATTCATTCATTCATTCAAAACTTATAGGCTGCCCACTCTACCCAAAGGTCTCTGGGCAGCTTACAACAAACATAGAAGACATCTTGCCTTATGTATAAAACATACATAGCCATAAACACATGAGTATCCTCAAAAGGGAATGATGACAATATCATTGCTGTTTATGGTCAAATAAATTGCTCTTAACTACTTCAATAGAAAGTTACCTTGTTGTGTTCCATGTTTCCTAGGGAAGTGAATTACTGGGAGGTGAAGAGACTGGCCCTAAAACTGTGCAGTTGTGGAAGGCAAGGCTAATTTGGTAGGCTATTTTATGGGTTGAATCTTAAGACATTTCTCTAGAGGAAGGTCTAATGAAGCCAGAGTTGTGAAAGCAGTTGCTGTATCCTCGTTTCTTTATTGTACAAGAGTCCTCTTCACTAATAATACCAATCTACAGGCTGATATTTCTCTTTAAGGAACGTGTGGGCTGAGTGGTGAAAGTGGGCTGCAATTAGGCTACAATTAACTTTGGAGGAGTCCCTCATGTTAAACAACCGAGGCTAATTTTCACTACTCCCCAGCCATTAAACACCTTTTTATATTGCAAAAGATCTAGGAAAAACACTCTGATTGTCTCCTCCTCTTTTCTGCAGCTGAATAGATTTCTTGACTTAAGAACAGATGTTTTTCCTTTCATACTAAGCATGAGAAGTCCCACCTGTTCTGCCGTATTAAGCACTGTGAAAAAATATTCATTTAATATGCGAGTCCAATGGAGAATCTTGTGGCAGCTTGAAGACTAACAAGTATTGTTTGGTATTAGCATTTGTGGTATGAAGCCCATTTAACCAAAAGCTCATGGCAAATTTGTTAATCTCTAAGATGTGACAAGATTTTCTGTTGTATTTGTTGTAACAGATTCCTGTAGCTACCACTTGGAAATCAAAGCGATTCAATGAGAAAATAGATATTCTGCATATAAAACAGTATGTATGAAAGATAGGACAATATGTCTGACCCAGGCCTTGCACATGTTACCCTTTTGAACTGCAGCATAGAGATGGGGTGGTAATAATAATAATAATAATCATAATCAAAATCATAAATAATAATCATAATAATCATAATGGTGATGATGGTGATGATGGTGATGACGATGACGAAGACGAAGACGAAGACGAAGAAGAAGAAGGGTTGTTCTGGGTTTTTCGTGCTCTTTGGCCGTGTTCTGAAGGTTGTTCTTCCTGACATTTCGCCAGTCTCTGTTGTGGGCATCTTCAGAGGACAGCCAAAGAGCCCAAAAAACCCAGAACAACCATTAGATCCAGGCCGTGAAAGCCTTCGCGAATATAAAGAAGAAGAACCTTTATTGGCATATAAAATAAACATAGTCATTGTTAGGTTCAGGGCTTCACCTCCTAACAATTGATTCAAGGAAAACAGCTACTTGTTCCATAATGCCAACCATCTCCACTGATAACATAAAATGGACCTTGTTCAGATCGGATTTCCCCTCCAGCTTTAATAATATTGAGGTGACATACTCTTTGCGGCAGGCCTGATGAAGCGGACAGGGCAAGAGCATGTGAGTGAGGGTTTCCAAAGCACCCTGCTCACGTGAAATAAGGGGTTCCGTTATACTATACCTACCATACAGCACCAGGCATGACATTACATCTGGCCAGAGAAAATTTCATAGCCAGCATGGCTCCTGGCCATATGGCCAGAAGAATCTAAGGGCTATAGTCCAAAGAAAATGATATTTCTTAAGTCTCGTCTGACCTAAATCAAGCAGCAATCAATAATCTTACAACTGCAGAGCTACAAGGGACCCTATGGATCACAAAATCCAGTCCCACTTGTGGAGATGGTACTTAACACCGATAAAACTAAATAAAATAGATTCTGAATATGAGATTCGTACTCCAAGATGAGCTGGAGATGACTCAGGCAGACCTTCCTGTTTGAGAAATCACTCTTTAGAGGAATCCCCTGCCCGAGTCTTAAAGACCAATGACAAAACAAAACAATTTTCAGATTGTGTGGAAAGGAAAAAGCTTCTCTTATATACTCAGATACTTCCCACAGTTAAGGAATTCCATCTTCTTATGATGAATTATCTCTATCATTTTCTGCCCTAAATGCTACATAAATTTCCTGGTACTTAGTTGGTTTATGCTTATAAGAAGAGAATGCTGAGCACTTGAGCTTTGTAGGAAAATATTTGGTGCTTTGTAGGAAAATATTTGGCCTTCCTTGTTTGGTGTTTCCCCCACCACCACCCTGAAGAAATTCCCATTTTCCAGCTTTTTCTGTGAACACTATTTATTTCATCAAAAGTTAATATAAAATATATGTATCTCTTTGGTTGGGTGTGGGGAGTTCTTTCACTGGTTGTGACCTGCCCTGTATAATGAGTTTTCAATAGATGGGTAGTATGCAGTGAAAGAAAGAAAGAAAGAAAGAAAGAAAGAAAGAAAGAAAGAAAGAAAGAAAGAAAGAAAGAAAGAAAGAAAGAAAGAAAGAAAGAATTGCATGGTCCACCTAAATGTTCAACTTAGTGGCCACTGTGCAATGGTTCTTAACCTTTGTTACTCAGGTGTTTTTGAGCTGCAACTCCTAGAAACCCCAGCCAGCACAGCTGGTGGTGAAGGCTTTTGGGAGTTGCAGTCCAAGAACACCTGAGCAACCCAAGGTTAAGAACCAGTGACCTACTGTATCACAACCTCAAGACATGTTTTGGCACCTTGAGACTCATATCCAAAATGAAGAGGTGTGCTAGCACCATTCTACACATTACCAAAGAATGATTTTTAAACCATGTATAAAATAACTCTGGCTCTTGATGCTAAATTGCTTGGAAAAGTTCATCCTGTTTCTCTGAGCCTCGGTAGAATAGTAGTGCTTAAAGCTGCTTTGAAAAGCTTGCCTGCCTAATTTCCAAGGCAATTAAGATCCTCAAATGACAAGACAAAGTCATTTTTATTTTTCTGCCTGCCTGACTTAATTGTCCTGAGACTGACATGAACAGAAAAGCAAAGTTCCTTTTGTTACATCATCACATACATCTTCCCATTTAATAGACTAAAACTGATGTAGTAATTGCTTGGTACATGATTGCTAAAGTGGGCAAGAAATTATATATATATTGACAATTCAGATGTTTTGAGGATGAGACTATCAGTGGCTACTAGTCATGGCAGCTAAATGTTAGCAGCTTTATATTAGCAGTTGTAGCAAATATATGCTGCCTCTTGGATGAGGACCAAAATGCTAATTAAGAATTTCTTCAAATCATATCTGAATGCTTTTCTGAGGCAGTGGAAGATTGCACCTCAATACAGAGTGGCCACTTGCATGTTGACTTCCCCTAGAAAGGAAAAATCCATTATTTAAAAGTAGGATGAAAGTGGATGAAAACCTGCAAACAATTTGTACATGCTAAGTTCCATCTACACCTATACAGTATATGTTGAAAGAGTTTCTGCTATTTAAAGAGAAATACCAAGGCCAAAATCCTGTTGCTTAGTGTAGTAAATTGCACTAAGTAGGCCAATTAAATCAATGGGGATTTGATGAGTTAACTCTTCTGGCAGTTTCAGTTATTCAAATGGGCCTACTGGAGCTGTTTGTTTGTTTGTTTAAATTATTTTTTCCACACCTTTCTTAAAAGGATCCATGCTAAAAAAAATTTGCAGATAGAGTATGCCTGTTTGAATCAAGGGACCTTATGAAGGAACTGACTCACTAAATCCCAAATGATTAAAGCACGGAATGGTAATAAGTTTCTGATACTCTGTGCCACAGTAGCCCCTCAAACATTGGAGGCAGTGAAACACATGAAACAATTTTCATAATGGTGGTTGTTTTTGCTTTCCATGGATTTGCAAACATGATAAAGAAATTTGGGAAAAAAAGCATAGGAGCTCTGGCAGGGGATAACGAATGTGTTTCCTCTAGCCAGAGGTGTTTTTTGTTTTGTTTTTGTTTTTTTAGTTTAGGCATAGAAAATTAAGGTTTCTTTTGGGAGAAAAGAAGAAACAGACAATGGTTCCACCCACAGCTGTTATAGATTAAGCTTCCAAGAAAACTGAAAACATTAATGCAAACAATATGGTAAGGATTGTTTATCTTTTCCCTTACGTTCAATAACAATGTGCCTTTTCATCAGTAGTCACCAAATTTTCCCATTAGATATATATTTAGAAACAATCAAAGTCTTTGTTCTCTGGTAATATAAATTGTAGGCTCCTGGGAAGCAGGAAACAAATAAGCCTGCAAACAATGATAAAAGAGGAAGCACTCCTGCAGCAGGAATATCCCAAGACATCCTTCAACATAGAACTGAAATTTAACATGCTATTCCATTAAGATAAATGAATGAAGGCTTTGTGAGGTGATTCTGGAACACTGTTGTCACTGTTCTGTCCTGTCAAGTTGGAACTGAACTATATCAACCCTAACAAGACTTTCAAGATATAGCAGATACTTCAGGAGTGGTTTTACCAGTTCCACTCCCCCAATGAGTTTCCATGACCAAGTGTGGACTTGAACACTGTTTTCCAGAGTCCTAGTCTGTCACTCTATCCACTATACCACACTGGGATTCTCTAGGAGCATTGTTTGGGGAGGGGGGTTGTCCAAATACAGAACATCACAATATTTCATCCAACATATATGCCTAGGTGTGACATTCTGCTTACCCTCAATGTTCACCTCATAGTAATGAGTTCACCTCACTGGGCCAAACCTTCTGGGACCTTGAAGCCTGAATGAAGGACATTGCTTCCCTGCACCATATGTGGGGACGCTGATGCAGAACTCTATGTTGAGGGAACATCTGTAGGCATCCTTCAGTCCCGAGAGACTATGGCAATTGAGGGAAAGAAAGTATGTCAAATTAACAATGAAGTATTTTTATATTAAAACTCTGAAGTGTCCTGTCTTTCACTAATAGCAAATGAGGTAGTAAACCTGTTTTCCTCCTCTATGATAGAAATAATGAAATATAAATAACATAATTACAATATAACTATTTTGATAATAGTTGCAAACATGTTATATAAGGTCTACACCCTTCTTTGGTCAATCCTAAGGGGTTTTGTTTTCAAATGTAACCCAAAATAACATGTAATGAGCAATGAAAAGCGTCAATTTAAAAAAAAAACTGTAATAAACTCCAAGAATGAATTGCTTTTGAAATACCATACCCCAAATCTTATTAGTTACGTCTGCCAGCATTTACACAACTGAAGAAAATCTTAACTACAAATTGCTGCAAGAATGAGAAAACACAACTTGCTACAGCACGTGCCTAGGCTGATTTCCTAACTTGCAGCAATTCATCACCAAGGTTTATACCAATTGCAAGATTTGCACCAGTATAATAGGATTACAGCATATAACTAGCATTAACAGAAACACACTGCATTTAAAAAGTAACTTGCCAAGCTCTCATCAGTTTGTTTGTCTGACTGTTCGTTTTCCCACCTCATTCCACTTTGCTCCTTTAGCTTCTCTCATCTTGAAAACAGATGTTTTCTTCCAATAAATTTGGCATGGAAAGAAGCTAGGCTGTTTTAACTTCCTCAATTAAGGTATTTAAAGCTTTGAAAATGGTTGCACTTGGAACAGCATTAAGAAGAACAGAATGTGCTTCTGTTAAGGGAGTGTGCGTCTGTGACTTTATCTTGTCTCTCGCAGAGTAAAGAGCGCTTCCCTCTGTCTTCACTCTCTTCTCTGAGGGGAAACAGCCAACCCATTTGTTCTATGTGGTGGTGAAAGACCATCTGTTGAATTAGATGTAAAAGGCAAGGCCTTGTTTTGTTTTTGTCTTGTTGTTTTGTTGTTGTTTTATAATACTACACAGCTTCTTGTTACAGTCACTGCAATGTCAATGAACTAAAGTGGACTGAAATGTGATATTTTCAGTCAGACATTTGAGAGACAGTGCTGAAGGAGAGTTTTGTGGATACCCTGGACTGCCAGAAAGACAAATAAGTGGACCCTAGAACAAATCAAGCCTGAGCTATCTCAGAAGCAAAAATGTTGAAACTGAGGCTGTCCTACTTCAGGCACTTCATAAGGCAAAATCCACTTTTGGACCTTGACAATCAAGACTGATTTGCATTGAAAACCGATTAATCCCGTAACAGGCCGTTTTTGTTCCATTTTGGTTTTTTTCTGGTCTGTAAGTCAAATCTCAGTTAAACCTAAATTTTGCGGCCAGAGAAGTCTGTAACTCAAAAAGTCTGCAAGTCAAGCTGTCTGTAAGTCAAGGGTCCACTGTATCTCAGAAGCAAAAATGTTGAAACTGTGACTGTCCTACTTCAGGCACTTCATAAGAAGGCAAGATCCACTTTTGGACCTTGACAATCAAGACAATGATGTTGGAAAAGGTTGAGGGCAGTAGGAAGAGTTTAGTCTTGAGAAAAGAAGTTCGAGGAATGATATGTTAGCACATTTCAAATACAGTAAGATGGGATCAGTATCTGTAGTGGTCACAAAATGAGAAGGCTCATAGTTTAGGTGATCACAAGTAATTAAGAAAGCAATTAGTCTTAGAGAGAGAAGTTAAGAAGTCAGTCACATACAGAGATGTCTGCCAGCAGAGTCCTCCACACACACCACTCCATACACCAGTCTAGACAACATGCCCAGGAAGACTCCCTTTTATTAACCTTACAGGTTGTTGATAGTATACAGATAGTTGACAGAATTCAGATAGGATACTGGTTATATGATGCCAATTAGAATTGGCCTAAAAGAGCCTTTGAAGTTAGCTATCTCTATGAGAAAGAGGAAGAATGGCTAGCAGCTCCTCTCAGAAGCAGCTGCGTTATATCCAAGAGAGTGTGCGCTACACTGAAAAACAGACAACCTTGGGGAGGGCCCCCCACAAGGATCCACTGATTCATGTATCCACTGCCTGAAAATACTAAATAAAACCCTGAGAAATAAGTGTGGATGTATGTACTCTTAAGTCAAGACCCCACTGTATGTACTTCCACAGTGTATTTACCAGAAATGGCCACTAGAGGGAGGCCATGCAATATCCAACACTTCCACATTTTCCAGTATCCACAGGAAGGATCTTGGAACCAATCCGCCACAGATACCATAGTCCTTCTTTACTTGAAAGGTAGTTATAAAAAGGAGGGAAAGTTCTCAATCATACCAGAGTGCAGGACATGTAATAATGGGCTCAAGTTACAGGAAGCCAGAATAACGCTGAAAATCAGGAAAAACCTCTTAACTGTTAAAGCAGAATGATGATGGAATGAATTTCCTTGGAAGGTGGTGACCACGCCAACACTATAGTGGGAGGAAAAGAAATTAACCTCTGTTCTTTTCTTCTTCTTTTAAATTTTTTAAAAACTTGCCAGAGATTTGAGTTTCTTAATCTCTGTAGCATTGCTTTCAGTAGGTCAGTGCTTTGCCTAATGAGCAAACTGTGAACTTCCGGGGTGCATTCGTTGTCGCTTTTACAGGTGTAAAGGCAGGTTGTTCCCTAAGCACCTTCTGAGTTTAGACTGCAGTAAGAACCTCCATGATTAATAACTAATGCCCACGCCATATATTACAGACAGTGAGTGATTAGAAGAGAAAGCTTTCAAAGTGCTGATAGCTTCTGATTAGCACAGTAGGAGATTTTCACGGACCCTGTAGTTTCCCAATTAGCTTGCTTTGTTTTATGATTGGTCTTTGGGATATAAACATAGGCTTTGTTTTCAAGTCTGTTTTTTTTGTTTCAGATCCAAGAGTCTGCTTCAGTTACAGCTCTGGAACACTGATCTTAGCTTCTAATAGCAGGCTATCAGTGGTGTTTAGTTTGGCCTATAGAATGAGCATCAGTTGTCTGTTAAGTCACAGGACTTTCTAAACATGCAAACAGAGAAGAGAATAGCAATTACTGATGCTGTAATTAGGGCTGCAGGTCTCAGGCCACCAGCAGAAACTGTAGGGCTCTGGGTGAAAGAAAAGATAATTGCTATGCTTTCTTGGATTTCCAGGAGCGGCACCAAGTTTCAAGCCATGCAATGCTGAGGAAGGAGAAAGTCTGATTTCTGTACATGAGATGCCTTTAAGTCTTGGGCACTCCCCCCACACAACAGGCACCTCAGCACAGAGGTGTGTTGCACATAATAGTTGCAGAGAAGACCAGGAAATCTACATTGCCTGTTTTACTCTTTCATACATGCATGCATAAACATTATTTTACAATTGCTGCACAACTCTACCCTCAACATCGCAAATTTAGATATATTTATTAGAGGGATCACCTCTTCCTCTATATATGTCTGCTTTGCCATTAAAATATACCTAACTAATTTCAAACCAAATATTGAAAAACTATTATGGGAACATCAGGTTCATCCCTCTCATTAATATCATTAGCTGTGTATTAATTTATAAAATTTACTAAGTTCTGGGAGGTTTTTTTGTTCCAAATACAAATATTTAGTTGCATTTTGTGTTTTTTTCAATAAAGGTATGAATAAAAATTGTATAGTGGTGCCTTGCTAGACGAAAGTCTCGTGGCATGAAAAACCCGCTGGACAAACGGGTCTGGCTAGGGTTTTTGTGCCTCGCAAGACTATCGTTCCTATGGCTGTTTTCCACAAGACAAATGTTGTGGTTTTATTTTGTTTCTTTGTTTGTTTGTTTGTTGTTGTCCAGCACCATTTTTTAAGATCACACCCTTTCCCCCTGCTTCGGTAAGGCTCCAAACGGAAAAGGGGGGGGAGCCTTTTTCCATTCAGAGCCTTACCGAACGCAAGGAGAAAGGGCCCGATCTTCAAAAATGGTGCTGGGCTAGCCTCTGCAAGCGCCGCTTGCAGGCTTTGGGGGTCCCCTGGGGCTTACCTTGCACCATTTCAGGACTCACGGGGGTCCCTCCACGTGGTGATGGGCATTTGCAGAGGTTTGTCTGGCACCATTTTTGAAGTTCCCGCCTTCGGAACGTAAAAAGAGGAGAAAAAAAAAGGAAAGCCTTTTTACGTTCCGAGGCTTGCTGAAGGCAGGGGGAAAGGGTGGGAACTTCAAAAATGGTTCTGGGCAAATATCTGCAAATGCCCATCGCCATGCAGAGGGACCCCCATGAGTCCTGGGATGGTGCAGGGTAAGCCCCAGGGGACCCCCAAAGCCAGCGAGCAGTGCTTGCAGAGGCTAGCCCAGCACCCTCGCAAGTCCTTGGATGGTGCAGGAAAAGCCTCTGAAGTGCTCTGAAGCAGGCGCTTGCGGTTGCAGGGCACCCCCGCCAGTGTTCGATGGCTTTCTCTGCACCATCTGAACACTGGTGGGGGTGTCCCGCAACCACACATGGCAGCTTCAGAGCACTTCGGAGGCTTTTCCTGCACCATCAGAGGACTGGCGGGGGACCCTACAAAGCTGGTGATTGCGGTGAGGGGACCTCCCCCACCAGTCCTCCGATGGTGCTTCCCCAGCTCCCTACCAGGTAAGTGACTTTTTTTTAAAAAAAAAATTCCCATAGGAACGCATTAATTAGATTTCAATGCATTCCTATGGGAAAATGCGCCTCGCAAGACAAATTTTTCACAAGACGGCATTGACCATGGAACCAATTAAATTTGTCTTGCGAGGCACCACTGTACTTTTTTCCTTTACACAGAGTTTTTTGCACTCTTTCAAAAAAGCCTTAAAACATGTTTGAAGTTAATAGGTTTAGAAAAATGCGATATTAGGTAGGCAGGGGGTGTATGGAAAACAAATAAGTCGGCACGTGGTCTATGGGGCAAAAAGGTTTGTGAACCTATGCTTTAGACTGAGGTGAGGCCCAAGCCAAACCGCCTTGCTGGCTCCACATCTCATAGGACCTGGTCTTGTGGTACAAGATGAGAAATAATT